GGCAGTCGCTTAACCAACTGAGCCACCCAGGCGCCCCTCTGGTTTCTTTCACTTAGCAAAATGTTTTCGAGGTTCATCCAGGTTGTAGCATGGATCAGACCGTCACTCGTTTACTCGTTTTTATGGTTAAATAATATTCCATTTCATGGACAGGCCACATTTTGTTTTTCCATTCATCTGCTGATAGACATCTGGATTGTTTCCACCTTTGGCTGTTGTGAATAGTGCTACTGTGAACATTTTTGTACATGTGTTTGTTTGAGCACCTGTTCTTAGTTCTTTGGAGTAGATACCTAGGAGTGAAACTGCTGGGTCATGGGGTAACTGTAGGTGACGGCACACACTCAGATGCTCAGTCATAGCCCACCGCACCTGCGGGTGCCCCTGGGCAGGGCCCACATTGGGTCCAGCTTTGCAGACCCGTGGTGGCTCCTTCAGGGGTTCAGTGTGTGTCTTTGGCACTCAATTTGTCACGAGGAGAAAGGGTGCTCAGGGGCCGGCCATCGAGGGTGAATGTCTCAAGAATTCCAAAATCTGGGCTCCTGACCTTGGGTCCGACTGACTCCATTACGTTCTGTCCTGTCACCTGCGGTGAGTGCAGAGCTGGGCAGTTTGTAGAGTGAGTCCCTTGAGGGCCTGACAGAGTGTTCAGGGCCTGGCTTGTTCTCACGCAGGTGCGCGTGTGCGCGCGCACACACACACACACACAGAGGGAACGTTGCCGGGGCTGAGGCCACAGCAGCGAATAAACAAACAAGGTTTGACCATCACGAAGCACAGCACTCACGGAGAGACACAGCCCAGGGCCAAGGTCAAGAGCCCTTGGTTTGAATCCCTGTTGGCAGCCCACTGCCTCTGAGACTCAGTTTCCCTGCTTGTCAAATGGGGCCAGTGACACCTTAGAAGGTTGATACCAGGGGACAGTGGGAAGCCGTGTGAAAGGCACATGGCGCAGCGCAAATGCTCTGAAGTGGCGGTTCCCACAACTGCCATTATTCTGATAGAGGGAAGTTCAAACCCTAAAGGGACCTCAGAGACTGCACAGAGCCATCTGTATATGAGCTGGCTTGTCAGGGAGGCTGGAAGGGCATTCTGGGTACAGGAACAGAGCTGGCAAAGTGGTGTATTTTAGTCACCATAAATCTTCCCCAGAGGACTCTGCCAAGGACCAGGCATACAGTAGGTGCTCACTAGGCACTGGGAGGTAGGGAGGGAGCTGTGAATTGGGGAGTGTGCCAGAGCAGTCAAACTTTGATTTGGCAGGCCTCAGCCCATTATCTCCAGGAGATAGACCAGGGATCTGCAATGACAGCCCTTGGGCCAAAACTGGCCCATCACCTGTTTTGTCTATAAAGTTTTATTGGAACACAACCACACCCACTCATTTACCTATGTTCTATGGCTTTTTTCCACACAGAGTTGAGCAGTCGTGACAGAAAATGTGTGGCCGGCAAAGTCTGAGGTATTTACTCTCCTGGCACTTTACCAAAAAAAAAGAAGGTAATCTCGCTGACTTTTGAGGTAAATTCTCCTCATTTATTCCTTAGACTCTTCCCCTCTTCTCTGCTTCATTTTCCCCCCAAAGCCTTTCTTACCACCTGAAATACTGTATGTTTAACATTTATTGGTTGACAGTCAGCCTTTCCCTCTAGAAGGTCAGTGCCACGAGGACAGGGATTTTTGTCTGTTTTGTTCCCAGATATGTCACTGGTGCCTATGACAGTGCCTGGCTTGCAGCTCAATGAACACCCAAGACTCAGATGGTTACCAAGAGCTTTCACGTGCAGATTTGCTCCTCCCCACGGAGACCTCCTACCTCACCTGCCAGAGGTAACCACAAAGCCGAATTTTGTCCATCATTTCCTTGCTTTTAATTATCATAATATACGTATATCTGAACTCTATTTTTAGCTCTCCCAGTTTCCTGACTTGTCTCATTTGATACTGAAACAGTGCTGTGCTCACCACATCCTGTTTCCCTCCCTTGTTGGGCACATGGTCAGACTGTACTTCCCCGGCTCCCTTGCAGCTGGGTGTGGCCACGTGATGGAGTTTTGGTCACTGGGATGTGGCTGGAAGTGACGTGTGCCACTTCTGAGCCTGGAGCCATAAACTTCGGTATGATCCTCCACACTTTTTCTCTGCCTGTCAGCCGGTTGTGACAGTCACCATGACTCTGGGTGTCATGTGTCAAAGACGGCAGAATCGCAGCAGGGGACATGGAGCATCCCCTCCCACCTCCCACCCTTCAAATACTTCAGACTTCTGGGATTTGCGGTTGGGTTGTTTCAGCAGTGGTGAACCATAAGCCATCCTACATCTAAGATGATAAAGTTGAGCTCCTTGCTGCCGCCACCCCCACCCCTCCAAAGGTGGCCAAGATCCACAGCCCATTTGTTTACGATGGACATCCCATAAGGCCTTATTAGTACCTTTGGGGCCAAGGAGCTCGGGGTGCCTCTTCCACGAAGTGTGGAGGTCTCGCCGCGGCTGCCCACTGGGGTCGAAGCTGGGGGGCTGCAGTCTGTCGTCTAGGCTGCGCGTCGCTTCAAACACAGGCACAGGGTCTGCACACACAGAGAGAGGAGCCCAGGAGTGGTGGGGGCCCTGAGGGCTGAGGGCTGCCCAGGCTGAGGCCGCTCTACAGGGAGTGGAGGGGACCATCCACAAGAGCCTTCTGGAGTTGCTCTGACGGCTTAGGAGAGCAATGTGGAATTTCTGCTTTGTGAGGGAGCAGCCTTCTTCAGGGACCTGCTCAGGGGAGTGTGTGCCATCCCCATGGATATGGGTGTCTTGCCCACTGGGAATAATAACAACAATAACTGTCACAATAACTGCATTTTCTGGATTCTATGGTGCCATCCGTGGTGGCCCTGAGACTGTGTCTTGTATGCCACCAACCACAGGAGGTGTGTGTAAACAAGGACCCCACTCTGACAACCATCAGTCTGAGGTCAGCCTTCCCCCTGGCCTTCCCACACAGACCTGCAGGCAGCTGGGGATGGGGCTGACTCCTGAGGGGCACAGGACTGCTCTGAGGACCAACGACTCCTCCAAGGCCTGCCCAGCACTGTACAGATGGTCCAGACTAAACCGTCTGGATGCTTCCACCCAGTTCCTTACCTCTTCTTCCTCCGACACCTCTCCCACCTCCCTCCCTATTTTCCTTCCCCTGCATTTCCTCAATTCTATCTATCTATCATCTATCTATCTCTCTCTCTCTCTCTCTCTCTCTCTCTCTCTCTCTATCTATCTATCTAATCCTTGGGGTGCTTCTCAATGGACCTGGACCAACACACCATCATTTGTTACATGCATGGTCTATTTTAAAATATATATATTTTGGGGCGCCTGGGTGGCTCAGACGGTTAAGCGTCTGCCTTCGGCTAGGGTCATGATCTCAGGGTCCTGGGATCGAGCCCCGCATCGAGTTCCTTGCTCAGCAGGGAGTCTGCTTCTCCCTCTTTCTCTGCTGTTCCCCCTGCTTGTGCTCTCTCTCTCTGTCAAAAATAAATAAAATCTTA